TGCAGGGCTTTGTGTCATCCCAGCGGTGACGCTCCTCAGGAATTCCGTTAGAATGACCGTGGATTCCCGCTGGAGCCGCCCTCTGAGCCTGGTCCCTTCTGGGGAACCCTTCTGGGTGTTCACAGCAGAGATTCCTGCCTTACAGCAGAAGCTCTTAACCTAGAGCTGGTGACAGATCCAGCGGGAGTGACTGAGGTGTCTCTGGTGCCTCTGCAGTGTTGCTGTTTCAGCCTTGGTCAGATTAAAGTATATTTGTACAAAAACGTTCAGTTTTGTTCTTTTTTTTTTTCCCTGTGTGCTTTAGGCCAGAATGTGAAACGTGAGTCTGGAAGGAAAGTCCAGGCTGGGAACATCACTGCTGCTAAGGTACCGTGTGGGATTCTTTTTGTTTGGTTGGCTTTTAGTGTGTGTGTGGATGTGTGTCTATAAATGCATCTAAAAATCTGTATTTGTATGTTATTTATATATTTGAGTAAATTCAAGAGAGAAAGTTGGTTCTAGAGCACACTTTCTCCAGTCTATGTGAATCCAGAGTAGAAGCAGCACAGAAAATTAGCATTCTGTGTTAATTAGTGCAATGGAACAGAACGTGGAGGGATTTAACCCACCCAAATCTCTTCTCTGCAAGCTCTGGAAGTGGCTGAGCTGTGACTTCCCACACAGATGAAATGGTCCTGTGGGTGCTGGTGCTCCTGTGGTCCCCCTGTGCCTGTTCCCAAGGGAGTCTTCCTGTCTAAGCCACTGCAGGGCCATCGAGTCATGGAAATTTTGCAGTGGCTGCTGGTTTCATAGGGATGTTTTTAGACTCTTTGGTGCCACCCTGCATGACCTGATTTCCTCTGTCCTCCCAGACCATTGCTGACATTATCCGCACGTGCCTGGGGCCCAGAGCTATGATGAAGGTGAGGACTGTGGCTGGAGCTGAGGAACACGGGCACACGTGTTGTGGGGCTCTGCAAACGTTTCTCCCCTTGGGTTGCAGATGCTGCTGGACCCCATGGGTGGGATTGTGATGACCAACGATGGCAATGCCATCCTCAGAGAGGTGAGGCTCTCCAGAGGGGTCGTGCTGCTTCACACGTGGGCTGGGATCTCCCAGGGTACGGGTCTGTAGCTGCCAGTGTCTCCTGCCTGGAGAGCCAGCAAGGGCTGAACAGCAGCACCAGGGGCTGGGCAGGGGTTAAATGTTCCTAGCAAACCTTCTTCCCTCTCAGAAAAACAGGATTGGCCCCAGGGTGGGGAGTTTTCCTGGAGGCTTTACAGAGCTGATGTAGTTGTAGCTGTAATCCCTTGTGTCAGAGCCTTGTGACACCAAACACCTACACAGGAAATCCTTGTCACCTTCCTGCTGTAAATGCTGCCCAAACACACCCCAAAAATCCCAGTGCCTGGAGAACAGTGGGAGACGTGGTGCTGTGAGAAACCAGGGCTGGTTTTGGGGGTTGGAGAGGAGGGAGAGCCTGGGCTGGGGCTGGGCAGGAGGCCTCTGGGTGGCCGTGGGCAGTGCCCTGGGGTTAGGGTTAGGGTTAGAGGTGCTGCCCCCACACGTTCCCCCCCCAGATCCAGGTCCAGCACCCGGCTGCCAAGTCGATGATCGAGATCAGCCGCACGCAGGACGAGGAGGTCGGGGACGGGACCACGTCTGTCATCATCCTGGGTGAGCAGGGGCTCGGGGCTCTGCCTGCCCTGCAGCTGCTTCTGCTCTCTCTTCCCCTGGCCTGGCTGTTCCTTGTTGCCCTGCCTTACCCGGGGTTGGGTGTGTTGTTGCTCTGCAGCTGGAGAGATGCTCTCTGTGGCCGAGCACTTCCTGGAGCAGCAGATGCACCCGACTGTGATCATCGGGGCTTACCGCAGAGCCCTGGATGACATGATCAGCATCCTGAAGAAGATTGGGTACGTGTGGGCTGCTGGGAGTCAGGGAAGGGCTCACAGAGGGGTTTGGGTGGGGAGGGACCTTTAAAGCCCATCTCACCCACCCCCCTGCAGGGAGCAGGGACAGCCCCAACCCGAGCTCCCTGGGATGGTGCCAGGGATGGGGCAGCGACCACCTCTCTGGGCAGCCTGGGCCAGGGGCTCACCACCCTCAGCAGCAAAAATCTCTCCCTTCTCTCTAGTGTAAATGTCCCTCTTTTAGTTCAAACCCACCCCCCTGCTGTGGGGTTTCTGTGCTGTGTAACGGGGATCTCTCAGTCCATTGTAGCAGTGTGCAATGGGAGGGGCACTCGAGGGGGTTTTTTGGGGGGGCTGTGGGCGGGGCAGCGCTCCCCTCACAGGGTGGTTTTCCCACCAGCACCCCCGTGGACGTGAACAACAAAGAGATGATGCTGAAGATCATCAAGAGTGCCATCAACACCAAGGCCATCAGCCGGTGGTCGGAGCTGGCGTGCGCCATGGCGCTGGAGGCCGTGCGCACCGTGGAGCTGGAGGAGAACGGCCGCATCAAGAAGTATGCCAAGGTGGAGAAGGTGGGTGTGCCCCAGGGCCTGCCCTGCCCCCCTGTGCCCCCTCCTGGGGTGGAGCTGGGGCCCCGGGGGAAGCTTCGTGCAGCTGATGTCCAGGCCCCAGGCGTGACCTGGGGGATGTCAGTGCTGTGGGTGAGAACGGGCGGTTGCGTCGGCGCCTTTAGAATACCCCTCAGAAAGGTGAGGTTGGGTTGGGTTGGTTTCTGTCTTCAGAGGCCTGTTGCAGGTGGGGGGATGGGGGCAGGTTCTCAAGCTCTTCCCCAGCTTGAGAATGGGGAGAGCTTCTTCTAAGTCAACCTCTAAGCCAAGACTTCATCTGAGTCACCGTCCTCTGGTCCCTGGCTGTGACCTGGACACGTCGTTCCACGGGAGCCGTGCTCTGTCGGGGTGCCCTGTCAGGGGCTGGGTCATTGCAGGAGCACAGAGAGAGCACATTGTGCCCTGTTTGGCCTCATCCTGCCCCCCTGTGCCCGGCAGATCCCGGGGGGGTTCAGCGAGGACTCGTGTGTGCTGCGGGGGATCATGGTGAACAAGGACGTGACCCACCCCCGCATGCGGCGCCTCATCAGGAACCCACGGGTGGTGCTGCTGGACTGCTCCCTGGAGTACAAGAAGGGGGAGAGCCAGGTAATGGGGGACCCGGGGACAGCCCAGAGAGGGGGCACAGGGCCTGGAAGGTGAGGGAGGCTGGGCAGAGGGTTGGGAGCACGAGGGGCCTGAGGCTCCACGTGTGCTCCCTGCCAGAGGGTGCACACAGAGGCTGCTCCTGCTGCAGGGGGAGAATGCAGGGGAGAGAACTGGGGCTGCAGGGGACTGGCTGAGGCAGCTGCTGCCCTTTGTGGCACTGGGTGATGGTCAAGAGGCAGAGAAATATCCCTGTGCTTTAATTAATGCTGGGTCAAATTGATCTGGTCAGTGAGGATCTGAGCAAGAGCTAAAGGGCCCCGGGGGGCAAGAGGCTGGGGCCAGACTCTGCTCAGTGGTGCCCAGGGACAGGACAAGGGGCAACAGGCACCAACTGGAACCCAGGAGGTGCCACCTGAGCAGGAGGAGAAACTTCTTTGGGGTGAGGGTGGCCGAGCCTGGAGCAGCTGCCCAGAGAGGCTGTGGAGTCTCCAAACTGGAGAGATCCCAGACTGGGCTGGATGGGACCCTGGGCACCCTGCTCCGTGCCCTGTGGGTGGGCAGGGCTGTGGGGGGAGGGTCTGTGGGACGTGCAGTGAGGGTCTCCTGGCTCTCTGTGCAGACTGACATTGAGATCACACGGGAGGAAGACTTCGCCCGGATCCTGCAGATGGAGGAGGAGTACATCCAGCAGATCTGTGAGGACCTCATCAGAGTCAAGCCAGATCTGGTCATCACAGAGAAAGGAATCTCTGGTAAGAGCACGGGTGATGCCACTTGGTGGTGAGTTCATCTTAACAGGGCTCCTGCTCTGTTCAATGCACTGGTAAGTTAAACAACCACCCAACAAAGGAAAAAACCAACAAATCAACCACTAAAAAGAAACCAAACCAAAAAACCACCAAGATTTTTCCCCCGTCCTAGTTTTGTGTCAGTTTTTAGCTTTCTGACAGGCAGGCCCAGAAGCTGGTTCTTGAGGTTGCCTCTGGAACTTGGACACCCAGAGCAGGATTTTGATTTTCCAGCTTTTAGGAGCGGTTTCAAACCTCAGCAGGGCTGAGTCAGACAGACCCTGTGGAGCCTGGCGCCGCCAGACCCGTGTTTAGTTTTCCCTCCCCACAAGCCT